TGTCGAAACCACTGCCCAATGCATCAATAAAACTGTTGTAGCAAAACATTATCACTACCAGTGAGAACAATGTCATCAACATATAGGAGCAAAAATATGGTGTGATGACCAAACCGATAAATGAAGAGGGATGGATCAGCAACACTTTGTGTGAAACCAGGCAGTGATGAGGAAGGAGCTAATGCGATAGAACCATGCTCGGGGCGCTTGTTTGAGACCAGTAGAGAGATTTGTATAACTTGCATACATAATGGGGACGATTAGGGTCAACGAAACCGGGAGGTTGAGTCATGTAAACATCTTCTTGGAGGAACCCGTGAAGAAATGCATTTTTGACATCGAGTTGGCGTAGTGGCCAACCACGAGAAATGGCAACACTTAGAACCGTTCGAATGGTGGTAGGTTTTACAACGGGGCTAAAGGTCTCCCCATAATCAACTCCGGGCTGTTGATGAAAACCCTTGGCGACTAAACGAGCTTTATAACGCTCAATAGATCCATCAGGCTTTCATTTTATCCGGAACACCCACTTAGAACCAACCGTGTTATGATGAGGTGAAGGAGGAACGAGAGACCATGTATTATTTTTAAGTAGAGCATTGATCTCTTCAGACATTGCAGAGCGCCACTCATGACTCTTGGAGGCTTGAGAGAAGCAGGTGGGCTCAAGGTTAGAGAGTGTTGTGATAAGGGCTTTGGGCAGAGGATAGTGTACGGTGCCATCGGTGGGATGCTTGGGCTTGGTGATGCCAAGTCGGAGACGTGTTACCATTGGATGCATAGATGGGGCAGTGGTGACATGTGTTTCGTGGGCCATGGGACTAGCATGGGAAGGCACCATGGGATCTGCATGGGTTGCATGCGGTGAGACAATGGACGGTGCAAGTGGTGCATCATCACATAATGCTTGCGGTGGAAGTGGTGTTGTCGGTGAAGGGAGCAAGATATTTGAAGTCTGTGGAGCTGCAATAGAGGCAGCAGCTAGGGCCCTGCGAGTTGGGTGGTGAGCTCGGCAGATCACTGGGGGGAGAAGTAACCTGCGGAGGAGGAGAAGACAATGGTATATGAGGGCTCGGTAGCGGGGGCTGCGGAGGTGCGATAGGTTGAATGTCCAACAAAACTGTTGGAGATTCATGAGTGACCTGCAAATTAGTAAAAGGAAAATAATCTTCTTGAAAAATTACATGACGGGAGATATAGACACGACCGGTGGAAGGGTGGAGACACCTATAACCTTTATGACTCGGACTGTAACCAATGAAGACACATTCTAAAGAACGAGGAGAAAGTTTGTGGGATGTATAAGGACTAAGGTTAGGAAAGCATGAACAACCGAAGACACGGAGATGAGAGTAAGAGGGAGAGCGATGGAAGAGTTTGGCATATGGGGATTCCCAATTTAGGAGGGGTGTAGGAAGAAGGTTAATGAGATGAACCTGCGGTGAGAGCCGCTTCAGTCCAATAAGAAGATGGTAAATGAGCAGTATGAAGAAGAGTGCGAATCATGTCTGCAATATGGCGATGTTTGCGTTCGGCGACGCCATTTTGTTGAGGGGTGTGAGGACATGAGAACCGTTGTTGGATACCCAAGGTGGTACAAAAATTGGCGAAGGCATTGTTCACATATTCGGTACCATTGTCACTTTGTAAGATTTTAATACTAGAGTTGAAGAGATTCTGTGCCATGGCAACAAATGTTTGAAAGTGTGTAAACACTTCCGATTTACGGCGCATGGGATAAATCCAAGAGTAATGCGAAAAATCATCCGTAAAAAGAACATAATACCGAAAACCACTAATAGATGGCACATGAGACATCCAAACATCGGAGTGAATGAGTTGAAAAGAAAATGAGACTGAAATAATACGGTTCGAAAACGGTAGTTGAGTGGATTTGCTTATAGCACAATCCGTACAGAATGTCTTATTAAATTTTATTTCTTTGCCTAACAATGGTCCTAGGTGGGAAAGAACAGAAGACGACGAGTGACCGAGACGACGATGCCAAGTAGAGGAGTGAAGAGTAGAAAGAGCGTGAGGAGTAAGGGGTTGACGGATGGAGGAAAGTTTAAGAGGATACAAGCCATCTTCACATGGGCCCTGAAATAATAGTGCACCGGTGAGCAAATCATAAATTTGATAGAAATCTGGGGCAAAAAGGAAAAATACAAGATTATCTTTGGTGAAACGAGCAACGGAAAGTAAATTTTTGCGAATGGCGGGAATGCGAAAAACATCACGAAGAGTGAATTTAGAAGAGCCCAAAGAAAATGGAAGAGTACCGGTGTGGGTAACATTCATGGAATCTCCATTACCCATAAATACATGTTGAGTACCATGGCAGGGATACGGGTTTTGAAGAGATGTGCCGGGACCCGTCATGTGATGAGTGGCGCCGGTATCAGGATACCAAGCTGGATCAGCCGCAGCAGCGGATTGGGCCATATGTGCACCAGCAAATGGAGGGAATTAGGCAGGGCCAGTGTACCTGTGCGGGCAGTGGGCCTGGTTATGTTGATTGGTGTTGCAATTGGGACACCAGGTTGAGGAGGGCCCAATAAGCCGTGAGTTGAAGCAGACCAAGGAGGGGGGCGTGGAAGCCATGGTTGCTGACCTTGCATCGGGGGAAGAGGAAAGCCATGATTATTGTTGTACCGGCGGTTAGAGATCCGATTGTTGCGGTAATTACCACCACGTCCAGTATGATTTCGATGGAAACCCTTTGGATTATGAGGCTTATGTCCAGGGAATTGTTGAGGTGGGGCTGGGTTTTGAGGAGCCGATGGTGGGGGGTGGTTATTAAAGAGAGCATGGGAGGATGGAGATGATGTGATGAAGTTGGGGTCTTGGGCTTCAAATGCGAGAATGCGAGAGCGAAGTTCAGTGAAGGTTAGGAGGGAAGAACTTTGAAGAATGGCGGTTCGAAGCATGAGATATTCTGGACCAAGGCCTCGAAGAGTGAGAGTGACTAAATACTTAGGATCCACGGGTTTGTTGATTGCAGCCAAGGAGTCAGCAATGTGTTTGACTTGGAGCAAGTATTCATTAAGGGATTTGGTCCCTTTTGTGATGTCGAGGAGTTGAAACTGGAGGGATGCAGAGCTAGCAATAGACGTTTGGGAAAAGTGGTGATGAAGACATTCCCAGATGGCCTGGGCTGTCTCACATTCAATGGTAGGAGAAATAATTGGCTTGGTCAGCGTAGTAGTTATGTAACTGACCACAAGTTGGTCTTGTTGAATCCATGTGAGCAAAGCCGGATTAGGGATAGGAACAGTAGCAGCAGGAGCATCGGTGGGGGAAGGAGGGGTGGGGGGCATGGCAAGAATGGTAGCTGGAGGTTTTGGGTGAGAGCCATCAACGAACTTGTAAAGTCCTTGGCCAATAAGGAATGGCTTCATCTGGCGAAGCCATTCAGGATAATTGTCTTCATCTAATTTCAGGAAGCTAGCAATACTAGGGCCAGAAGAAGGAACAGAGGTAGCCATGGAAGAAGAGGCAGGGATCGGCTAGGATTTTTCGAGAAGAAGGAGCCTAGACCTAGGTGATACCATGTCGAAAATGATTTTCCCTTATTTTATTCATTCCTAGAATTGCATGATATATAGAACACGTTTGATACAATAATTAATTACAATTGAAATCACCAAGTCAACCCTATACAATCATTCTAAATTTAACGCAATCAAGAGGATTAGGGAGAGATATGTGGAGATGATGGAATCTCGCTAACATATATATATGTACACTAAAGATTTGGAGAATAATATCAGAGCTACTTTATGTCTACATTCTACACCACAATTCTATCATAGGTAGCCCATATCATTAAGGAGCATAATTAGGTTATTTCTGTAGAATTATCAGAGAGAAGGGTCAATAGCCCGCTTCTAACAACACCGATATTGTCTCCAACTTGTTAATTACCACCTGTAGAATCTGCCAGGTTTGGGGTTTCATCACAAAAGGCCTCGATATCAGTTGGAGTGGGGTTCAGGATATTAAACTCTTATTTTTCAAAGATACTGTTGATGTTGGATATTTCAACAATTTCAAGGTATCTTGAGCATGTGGAGGACATACCTATACCTTAGAACATCGTGTTGGACATCACCATGGCATCAAACCAATAACACAAGTTTACATATTTTTATGACATCGAATAATGAAGTTGAGAGTTGGAACACTAGGACATTAGCGTCTTCGGCCCGAGCTGTATGAGGCGGAAACTCGTCCCACGTACGGTTCAGAGGCCGAGCCCTACCCCAGCAGTAGTGGTGCGGCTTAGGTCAATTAACACAAAGAAGATACAGTTCACTCAATAATTGCCTTTGGGTATGTTTCATAAAAGTCTTTTCCCTCCAACACCTCATTATATTTGGTAACATATAGATAACTAGGTGGAGGAATAACCTTTGGCCAAAGGCAGTGGCGGATGCATTGAGGGGCAAAGGGGTCAGCTAACCCCTCGAACTTCGGTGAACGTTCATGGATACCTTGGGTGCTGACCCACCAAACTTCGGTGAATGTCCATAGATACCTTAGGTGCTGCTCTTTTGAAGATTAGAGTTGGCTTCATACATACCCTCCAACTGTTTGATAAAATGTCTAAAATAAGAGTTAATGAAATGGTGATCTCAGTGAATAACAAAGCATCATCATTCTTGGACAAACATATTAATGGATGCAATGATATCAAACATTGTTAATGTGTTTAAGATAAGTGTGTTTCTTTGTTAAGCATTCATATGGGAGCAACCTTGGAACATGTTAGTTACCTATGTAAATGAGGCATTAACTGCAGTATATCTTTCCAAATGACTTCAGACTTACCAAGACTTGATGAAATGGCGAGATGCATGTTATTTTTGGTATAAAAAAATTGCGCGTTGCACGCGCTATTCTTACTGACCCCTCCTAATATTATTTCTTGGATCCGACACTGGTCAAAGGTGCAAATATATTAAATAATATTTGAGGGTGGTAAAACATTGTTTCGTGTCCTAGCATTACAAGCCAAGCAACCAATTTAATATAAACAAATACACAAATATATATATCATAGTGCAAATTGATTTCTTAACGTGAGTGCTTGGTTAGTTAGCGTCCTTTGGCATTTCTTTGTTCAGTACAATCTGCTTTCACTGCATGTAGAACCTTTTTTTGTTTTTTGTTTTTTTTTTTTTCACTACAACAGAAACTTAATATTAAAGCCTCCAGGGCCAGTGGAGTTTATATTTGGGTAAATAATAGTAAAGGTCCCTGAACTATACTATAAGTTTAGTTTTCATCCCTTAATTCTTATATTAGTTTCTCTCGTCCTCCAACTTAAGTTTGTGTTGAACGAATCGTCATTTCCATCAAGTTTGTTACATTTTTCGTTAAATATGATCACATGCCTTGCACGTGACCTTTTTGTGGTGGGCAAATATGACATTTTGCTGGCCCAAAGGAATCTCACGTGCTATAGGATGGAGAACTCAAAAGTTTTGGTGAAGAGTTCAACTGGAGATTGAGAGCTCAGTACTAGGGTTTGAAGTTCAACTGGAGATTGAGAGCACAGTTCTAGGGTTTGAGAAATTTGAATAGGAAATTCACTGTTATTGTCTGGGAATGCACTTTTGTGATTAATTATTCACATGGCGACAATGTTTCGATGGTCTGGAGAGCATCCACAATACAGTAAGTCTTTCCTTCATTGTTTAATTTTATATTTCATGAATTTCGTTTGGATTTTTTTTGTCTAAATATGTATTCTGTTATTCGCTTTGGCTTTATATGGATGGTGGTACTCTTTCTTTTCGGTCAAATGCATTTATGTGTTGGCCTTATTACTATCTATTTTTCACCATTGCTCCAGCGTCCACCACACCCAATATGCATATATTGGAGTTTGGTGAGGGTATTTATTGTAAGAATTTGATTTTGGTGAGTGCTCAACCTCACATTGTATATTATATACGGCAGGTGGTATGGAGCTATGTACTCTTGAACTTAACCATTATGGGTTGGTAGAAAATGGAGTTTATAAAGGTGGCAAGGTATGTTATGTAGACAATTGTGTTGATGACTATTTGTCATTGGTGGATTTACAAAGATTGGTGTAGAACTTGGCTATAAAGTTGACATAACTCAGAAGTTTACAAGTTTAAAAGTGTACTACAAGAAACATAGTAAGTTTGGTGCAAGTGCATTGATAGAGGTGAAAAATGATAGTTTTATTCCGGGGCTAATTGGTTGCATTCCTGGTAATAGAATTGTTCAACTGTATTATCATGATCCAACTGATCTAAACACCATTGGGAGTCAAGCTTTTGAGGTATGGGCAAGTTTGGATTCTGAAAACTATAATGGTGGCATTGATGAATTTAAGGGTCACCAGCCTTTTATTGATCGCATAGCCAATGCCGACAATTCAGTACAGAAGGTCAACACATATGAAGCTACATTTGTTGGTATATATGGTAATGTTCAGGAACATAATGAAAATGAAGCAGAAGAGGATAATGAAAAAGAAGGTGAAAACGAAGAATAGGATGAAGTATTTGTTGACAATGATTATGGGGTAAGTGACGATGAAGAGCCAACTAATGTTGAAGAGGTAAATGGTGTGGAGGCACCAAATGAAGTGTTAGATGTTAATCATCCAAATGAAGTTCTTGATTTTCATCCTCCTAATGAAGCTACAGGGGAGATTTCATCTGATGGTGAAGACATTGATATTCTTGATTCTGGTAGTGATGAAGAGGAAGGTGAACAAAACTTTAATAAATTATCCAAGAAGAGGAAAAGGAAATTATCGAGTTTTAAACAGTGGAGGAGAGATATAGTTTTGAGAAATCCAGAATTTCGATTGGGAATGCAATTTGCCAATAAAGTAGAGGTGAAAGAAACTATAAAGGAGTGGGCTATTATCAATGGCCGAGAAGTCAAATTTGTAAAAGATGATAAAATTAGGGTGAGAGCAAAGTGTGTTGGAAATAAGAAAACGAAGTGCCCGTTCACTATATTTGCTTCCATCATAGATTCAGATGAGCCCACTTTTGCAATCAAGACTCTCTACTTAGATCATCATTGTGGGAGAGTTGGTAAGCTAAAGTTTGCTAATTCAAAGTGGCTAGCTGAAAAGTTTGCTGACAAGATCAAGAAAAATCCTCATTGGAATGTCGGAGCGTTTAAGTCGGAGGTATTAGATCAGTATCGTATGAATGTTAGCAGACATCAAATATACAGAGCAATGAGGTTGTCCAAGGTGATTATTGAAGGTAGCTACAAAGAACAATATGCCAGGTTATGGGACTATCCAGAACAACTATAGGTGGCTAATAAAGGAAGCACAGTGGTTATAAGCAATAAGATGGAGGGCAATCAACCTGTTTTCTGTAAGATGTACGTGTGCTTAGGAGCTTGTAAGAAAGGTTTTTTGGAGGGTTGTAGACCTGTGATTGGGGTGGATGGTTGCCACTGGAAAGGACCATACGTGGGTCAGATTTTAACTGCTGTTGGAGTTTATGGGAATAATGGTATGTTTCCAATTGCTTATGCTATAGTGGAATTTGAAAATAAGAGTTCATGGATTTGGTTCCTTGAACTTTTGAAAGCTTATTTAAATATTGAGAATAGGGCAGCTTGGGTGTTTATAAGTGACAAACAAAAAGGGCTCATTCCTGCCATTTAGAGTGTCTTTCCAACAACTTGTTGGAGACACCTATTTAACAACTTTAAGGCATCACACCCGGGACTTGCATCGAAGAATACATTGTGGGCCTTAGCAACATCCAATACTATTCCATGGTTTGATGTATAGATGGAAAAGATGAAAAAGCTTGGATTTAGATTCAGAAAAGGCCTCCACAAAATTGGAGTAGAGCTTATTTTGCATCGCACTTCAAGTGTGATGTTTTTTTGAACAACCTATGTGAATCGTTTAATTCTCGCATTATAGATGCAAGAGACAAGGCAATATTAACATGCCTTGAGAGAATTATGGTATATATCATGTTAAGGATGGCTAATAGAAGAATTGCAGCCAGGCATTGGAAACATCCGGTTGGACCCAGGATCTTCAAAATCATTGAGAACAAGTTAGGAGCTAGTCAGTGCATTCCTATGATGGCTGGGGACAAGAAGTTCTTAGTACAACATATGTATGGGGCTGAGTTTGTTGTGGATCTAAGAGCAAAAAAATGCTTTTGCAGAAGATGGGATTTGTGTGGGATCCCATGCCCCCATGCTATTTCTTGCATTTTTTCTATGGATGAAAATGTGTATGACTATACACATGATTGCTATAAGCAAGAGGCTTACTTGAATTCATATGATCCCATTGTTCACCCGGTTCCATCCATGGATCAGTGGAAGAAAACTGGTTTGCCTGCAATTAGCCCTCCTTTATACAAGAAGCAACCTGGAAGGCCAAAAATATCTAGAACTAAAGAGGTAGGTGAGGTTCAAGCACCTGCTCCACCCCCTCCAAACCCCATCCCACCAGATTATATTCCACCTCCTGCAAAGGTAAAAAGAATATTTGTAAAGGTAAAGTGTGGAATTTGTAGGCCAATGAGGACATAATAGGTTAAGTCATAGAAAAGAAGGGGAAAATAGCTTTTCTAACATCCAAGAGGCTGCTCAGGTATATACAATACTTTACTTCTTTAATTTCTTTTGCTTTTTGAAGCACTATTTCTAATATTTTCACTTTATTTGCTTTGTGTAGGACCATGGTGATCACTTTCATCAAACCAATGGGCCAAACCCTTTTACAGGGATAGGGAAACCAAGAGGTTGTGGTATAACAAAAGGAAAGGGCAAACAAGGAACACAAAAAGCAGTAAGTGTGCTTTTAAATTGATTTGGGATGTATTGGTGACTATAGAAGAATTCGTAATGTATATGATGCATATGATGTCTAGGTTTCAACTGAGAAAAGAGATCTCATCATCCATTGCAAAAGGAAAGGGAGTAGGGACATCATAATCACAGCCACCTATTTAAGAAAAAAAAACAACGAAAACCATGCTGGGGATAAAAATTGGGCATGATCAATGCGATCACTGATGTTGTTTTTGGAACTTCCTTTTTGTAGCATAAATCATCTTTTATGTGGTTGTAGAATTGGTACGTATTTTGTGTAGTAAACTTTGTATTTTGGTAAAGGTTGATATTTTGTAATGATGGTACTTTTGATTAAGTTGTTATGTTATCGATACTTTTGGTGATCTTTAGCACAATTTGTTGTTTTAGTATTAATCTATTATTATTATTATTAAACTTAGATAACTCTTGAGTTATGCGGAAAAATTGCATAAGATAAACAATTAGTTTATACATCAATAAAAGACGAGTCCTTAAGGCAACACTAAGTTGTTAACTCATGTGATAAACAATTGGATTAAATAGGAAAATTGCATCACAATTAGACTTTTTTTGTTTTTTTTTATGGGCAAAAGCATATCACAATAAGCCTTTTTTTGGCGGAAAAATTAATCTAGAAAGGGATATATTGGGAATCTTAGAATTCATGACTTTAAAAAGACCATTATACCCTTAAATTTAACGGAAAAGATAACATATTTGACAGAAGGACCAATTGTGCAACGCGGAGTTAAGTTGGAGGACGCAAGAAACTAATATAAGAGTTCAGTGACGAAAACTAAACATGGGGTAAAGTTCAGGAACCTTTACTACCACGCACCCTTTATATTTAGTTGGAGCACCTGTTTAGAACACTCAGAAATTGTTAAAAGTTTCAAAGAGACGGGTCATGGTTCATCATTAATTGTGTCGATACAATTCTCACTTAATCACCTGCGCCATTAATAGGTGTGAGATTTATGCAAAAGGCCTTGATGTGATTAGAAGTGAAATCATATGATATGAGTTGTGATTTATTTTGTAAGATAGTTGATGTGTGATGTTTTACTTTATTTAGCCAAAACAACGTCCTACCAAATACAATAAGTTTTGCTGATAAATAAAGAAGTCAAAAGCATCAACAATTAAGTTTGCTTCATGGTAAATAAGGTGCATTAGCGAGACACTGCCATGGTCCTAGATTGGAATCTTGTCCGAATCCTCTTTGTGAGGATCCTATGATCTCTAGGATCCTCACAAAAAGGATCCGGATAGGATCCTCATCCTATGATCCCAGACTATGCACCAACATGATTCTTACATAAGCTAGGGTTCCATATATATTCGATAAATAGATCTTGTTATAAATTCTCTTTTAATTACATGATATTAAAAATATGTTTGAAGGATTGGGTGTTAGTGAGCTTATGATTAGTGACCGTTAGTATTGTACTGTATATGCTTTTGGTTTGACCTTTTGTTGACTACAAAAATTACAAAACCTACGTGGCGCGCAGGCCGAGTAACTAATGAGCTAACTACGTCCTTCGGTTGAATGCGGGGCGTGCCAACTCGTCGGCCGAGCTCGGCCGAGGAGTAAAATGTGATGTCGCGTTGGGTGCGCTATCGACTTCTGTATCTTGCGATTGCGACCGAGGAAGGAACGCTCTCGGTCTCTGGGTTCTATAGCCTGAAGACAAGGCTACTAATTCTACGGAGTTCACAGGTCGTCGGACCCTGATTCGGTCACTGTGATTATATTCGTAAGAGTATAAGCACGCCGAATCGAGACCAAACTATATGGGCACAGGTACTCGAATGTGATGTATGTCTTGATGGTAAACGTAGTTCGGCCGTCGGAATGCCGAACCCTGAAACTTACTTGCGAGTATCCAATCATAAACTCACTCGACGTCCAATACGCCGAGCAATGCAACTCGTAACACCCAACTATGCCGAAAAGGCTTAGTTAGATGACCTCCACCAACAAAGGTTCGAAAACCCTTCTCGGCCGAGACTTAGATAGATAATCGGTCGACCTCGACGCAGTGCTGTTTATCCAAACTGAAGGTGTTTCTCGGTCGGCTGATTCTGCGGCAGCAGTGCTGTTTATCCAAACTGAAGGTGCTCACCGGTTGCTTCCACAGTGCTGTTTATCCAAACTGAAGGTGTGTCTGCAGGAAAAGAAAAGGAAAAATCTCAAGGTGTTTGAGAGGTTTTGCGCAGGGCAATTGTATGCTGATTGTGAAGGGTCTTTTCTATTGCGTAATTTCTTGTATTTATAGCACCTCGCTCCTTGATTCCATTCTGATTTGGATTGGGAGTCCTTGTCCCATCTCACCTTTAACTCAAACAATCCCAGTCCTATTGGGATTCTGAATTCTCCTACTTTTGAGGTTTTATCCCTTGCCGGTCGAGAATCCTGGTTGCATCAGGATTTCCTCAACCTTTCCTCGTTTATCTGGACTACTTAAGATAGGATCTGGCCGACCCTGCCAGCTGGTCCGAGTCTCATTATTTGGCCCATAGCATGTGTTATTACCTTGGGCCGAGCACATCCTGCTGCTCGGCCTAATCATAATATTTTGGGCCCAAACATTGCCCCCTCGCTTCTGAGGTCGCCGACTGTCACTCTTGGTCGGCTCTCGGCCTTGAAGAAGCGAAAACATTTATTGCTTTTCTGGACCTTACTTCATTAATGACCATTATTCCTGCATATTTATGAGACATGATTGCACCTTCCTCGTTGCCCCCAACGCGTGGCCACGCGTCAATTCTCCGCCGTTCTTAAAAGCTTCAATCATGGGCCTCGAAACCGTGCACTAACTGAACCGTCTTATCCTCATTAATACATTGAACCTGTCGCCGCACGCCATCGTGCGTCCTGGATCTTCGCCCCCTCGATCCCATTTTCGCAGGTTCCCAAAATATCCGAAATGATTGCAAACTTTCCCGGTTAAATTTCCCCCCACTTTTGAACGAACACTTTTCGAATTCTAATGCCTTTCGAAATTCAGTCGTTTGATCTTCTATCTGAAAAGCCTATAAATACCCACATTTTACTCTATTCGTGTCTTACGCTTTCAGAAAGAATCCAGACTCAAATTTCAATCATTCTTGCTTGTTCAAACCAACCCTTTAATTTCCTTCCTGCAATCTTTCCAGTTCTTCCAGATTATTCTAATGGCTTCCTTCGTCGCGAAACTTTCCGAGGAGATCAACAAATGCAAAGACTTCATCGATCGGAGCACCGTCAAGACGCTGCGATTCGAAGAGGACATGGCCACCACCCACCAGATTCTGGGTCCCCTCTTTAGAGACGCCGTGCCATCGTCCGTTACTGACCTGCTCAAGGAGCAATGTTTAACACCCCTGCTGCAGGGGTTCGACTGGTCCAAGTGGACTCTGGCGCGGCCTCAGGGAGCCTGGCCCTCGACCACCACGGCTTGGGCTGCCTGGGTCGACCGGATGAGCACCTTCTTCTCCAAGGAGTGGAAGGCCCTTGGCATCTATGATGCCATTATGCTGTCAACCATGGAGATTGCCATGGATAAGGAGCTGCTCCTGGCGGCCATGAGTCTATCGTGTTCGGCCACCAACACCATGGTCTTGCCTTTCGGCCCCCTCGGCCCTACAGTCCTCGACGTCTTGGCCATCCTTGGGACTTCCCCGACCGGCCTTCCCATTGACGCCGCCCTTTCTGGATACCCTTCTCCTCTCGACCTGAAGGCGCTATTCGACGAAAGGGCCGTCGAAACACTGAGCCGGGGCGACCGGGAGCCCTCAAGGGAAGAAGTTCACAAACTCCACAAGAACTTCTTCAATTACAATACCCTCATTCTGCATTTCGCCGGTCGAGGCGAGGAGGGCCTGAGGAAGGGAGAGCACGAGGCCTTCCTCTTCTACTGGTACAACAAATTCGTCTGTTGTACCAGGTCGAACAAGTGCCTGGTGAAGAACATGCCAGTGGCACAGGCACTGGCCAATGGTCGCTTGCTGGCGCTCAGTCCAGCCATACTCGCCAACCTCTTCCGTTGCCTGGCTGAGGCGACCATTAGCAAGATTGACCCGCACCAGAACGGACCCCTCTGGGTGTTCCAACTCTGGCTGCAGGTCTACTTTTCCACCCTTCGACCGGAGGTTCCTGCCTTCGATCGAACGGCCGCCCTCGGCCCCCAACTGGCCTCGCGACCGGTGCCTCCCCACCGAGCCGACGAGGTCTTCAGACACTTCTTCAGCCTCGACGTCCTCTCGGATGACGAGTTCCTGGTGTGCCGGCACCAGGAGTACCCTTCCTCGCTCGGGCTTCCTACGGCAACGTGGGCCGCGTCCGAGGATGCGGACATTCGTCAACGATGGGGGTCGTTCGTTGTGGCGCGTGACGTCCCACTGGGTTACGATGCCCGCCGAGCGGGCTGGGAGGTCTACCACCCCAATTTTGTCGCCCGGCAGCTCGGCTACCTCCAGGGCAGTCCAGTCCCCCTGCTTGCTTCTCGGTCACTCCTGAGTCGGGGACGTCTTACCGGCTCCTCTGAGAGGGAGTGCAAGGCGTCCGACCAGGAGTTCCAGGAGAAGTGCAGGAAGTTTCGGATCCGGCCGGCGGTTCCTGAGTCTCTGGGAACCGACACCTTCGGGGACTGGTGGGAGGAGTATACTGGCGACTTCTTCGGGTCCCCGGCCGAAGATCTGGTGAAGAAGATCTTCGGCGACCGTCCTCGGTCGACGTCCTCGGCTCAACCTAAGGAGCCGACCCAAGGTAGTCTTTCCGCCTTTACTTTTTCTTTTTCTCTTTTTTTTTTTTTTTTTTTTTTATATATATATCTTGAGCCTTGTTACTAATCACCTTGCCCTTCAGGGAGTCGTGTGCCGAGGAGGGTAGAGGTGGTCGCCGCGGTGGCGAAGGCGAAGAAGGTGCCGAAGCCCATCGCCACCGAGAGGGCAGTCCCGGCCAAACGCCCCCACCGAGAGGCCGAGCCGGAGGTTGATGCCCCTCGCCCTTCTAAACGCGTCAAGAAATTGGCGAAGAAGGGCGATCGGGAAATTCATGTCGTCCCTAGTGATACCACAAGGACGGCCGCTCCCGCCGGCTCTCCT